CCCTTGAGAGGCAGTCACAGCCAGCCCCACCCTCAGCAGCCACCTGCTGTGAGGCACAGCTGCCTGCATGGACACAGGACCCTGTCCCAGCCCAAATCACAGCTCCGTGGAGCTTGTGCCATTCATAGGATTTTAACAATGAAGCATTGCATTTTGGTTGGTTTTGTTTCGATACAGGGCCTCGCTATGTAGTCCAGGTGGGCCTTGAACTCACCACCATCCTCCCACCTCGGCCTCCCAAATGCTGAAACAGTAGATTGCCAGCCACAACACTGGCACACACTTAACAGACTGCGATAGAATGAGACGAAGACTTTGCACTAGGAAACCAGAGCAGTGGAGTGGCTCCTTTTTCTCTACCCCAATGAGTACTGAAGCCAGGGCTTTGCACTAGGTACAGCTCTCAATATTTACTTTTAAATATTCTTATTTTGAGACATGGTCTTACTAAGTTGTTTTGGAAGGACTTGCCATCAGGAGCCTTCTGCCTCAGCCTCCCAAGTGCATGGATTACAGGTGTGTGCCTCTGCATGCCTGGTTTCCCTTCTCTCGTTCTTGACATAGGGACCCAGGTCCTGCATGCTGTTGGTCCCCTGACTAGAACACCAGGGTATGGGGAGGCACACACATGTGGAGCACCGTTGGCTGTTTGAGGCCAATGGAATGCCCAAGGGGAAACATGTTTGTTATTGGGCGTCGACTGTTGACAGGTTAGTCCTGATGGTCACAGCCAGCTCCAGCAGAGAGTGTCTTCGGGGTGGTCCTCCATTAGATTTTTCTTTCTGAATTTCTCCACCAGGCAGCAGACAGCTCAGCCTCACACCCAAGCATGCAGCAAGCAGGATCCCCGCCGACCACCCGGGCACAGTGTACTGTGCCACTGCGGGAGCACATGGCAACCCCAGAAGGTCAGACTCAGAGCGGCAGAGCCTGGCCCCAGATAAGGCCTCTCCCTGTTTTTGGATCCCTCTCTCAGAGCGGCCCAGGAGTGGACCCAAGTTGGACCTTCCAGGGTCAGGACCTTGGGACTTCCCCAGTTCTCCCGCTTTCCGTGTGGTTTTTGATGGTCAGCAACCTGTCCGTCTATTGGTTCTGTCGGCCCTTGCTGACAACACTGGTGCCCATGCCACAGTCCCCCGTGGGCAGCCATCGCCTTTCTGTGCAGGCCAAGGAGGTCCTGGTCCTGATCATGCTGGTGGTCTGGCACCCATCCTCAGCACCAGCGACACTACTGGCTGCCATAGCCACCTTTCTCTCACAGACCACCAGAGGGCGCTCGGCCTCCACGCAGGGACAGCAGGTGCCGTCCTTTCTCCTGTGATTCAGGGACCTTGGGAGTTTCTGGAGAGAAGAAAAGGAACAGGACGAAGGAACAGGAAAGGGCTGGACATGGGTCCTCCAGCAGTGTCCACTCTGCCACTGGGGTCTTCCATGCTGGGGGCCTTGGGGAGCAGGGAGTGCCCAGATCCGTGGTGGACTACAGTGAGGAAGGCCAGCTCTGGGACAGAAAGGGAACTGGCCTAGGACCCTGGGGAGCTGTCCTGGGGTGGGGGAAGAGGTGGAGGGTCTGGCTGGAAGGTAGCTGGGCAGCTGTCCCCTCCCACTCTAGTCAGCTTCGCCTGACTGTGGGGGCAGTGGGCACTGGGAAGGCAAAAGTGGGCACTTGCTTGTCTTCAGGTGGCCCTGCTCAAATGCAGGCTAGAAATGCCCGCTGCTTCTGCAGCTGCTGCTGACGCCCGTGCTGGTGACTGGGCATTGGGCTGAAAGCAAGCAGGTCCCTTTGCGCTCTGTCCTCTTGCACAGTCTTTCTGCTGCAGCCCTGTTTTATCTGCTGGCTCCTGCCTGCCAGCCTTGCCCTTGGGTGCACTGGGTCTGCGAACAGCCTTCAGGGGGGACCTGGCTGAGTCACTGGGGAGGACAGGCACAGGGTGGAGCCCTGGTGGGGTGCCAGTGCTCTGGACCTCAGGTCTCAGGTTGCTGTGAGTCCTGAGGGGGCCCAGCTGGGAAGGGCTGCTGTCCAGTTTCCCAGGAGGCCACCTAGGCCCTTGAGGCTCAGGACGCTACCCAGAAAGCCGGGCCCTGGGAGGCATCATGTCCTTTGGTTTCTGCCTCCCTGTCTTTTCTGTTTTTGTCTTCAGCGTTTGGATCTCTTTCTCTTATTTAAACAGTTTCCCCTTCTAGAAATACAGCATGGTGTCTGAGGAGCACCCAGAGCTGTGGCAACATCTCCTCCACGCTGGTCCCCACCTCTTTGGAACAGGCCCTGTGCTTGTGTGAACTGTAAAGTGGGAATTGTATATATACATATACATGTATATGTATATGTATATATACGCACACACATGCCTTAACTTGAGAAAATCAGGCCCAGCTAAAAAACAAAAGAAAGCTCCCTCAGCACCCAGACTTCCCTCCAGTTCTCTTCAGGATATTTTTTCAGGAAGCCCAGTGAAAGCTGTGTGGTCACCTCGGGCTATTCCTGGGTCCCCTGCCGCTGTTGGGTGTCTTGGTCCCAGGTACCCTTTCCTATCCCCACTCAGGCTTGCTTAGGCTGAGTGTGACCCTGAACCCTTCATGAAGAGACCTACCAGTGGACAGAGGTGGACCCAGCCCACCCCAGCCTAGCACACAAAGCCAATCCTGGTTTCAGTGTGAGATCCCCAGAAGGACTTAGGAAGGTGCTGTGGAGAGCCAGATGGGGACAGCTGGGACTCCGCAGGCTACAGGGGCTCAGCTCTGCACAGGACCAGGCCGTCTGCACGTGTAAGCCAATGTGCGTGCACTATGTATCCTAATAAAGCTTTATTGAGAGACACTAAAATTCCAGTTTCATGTAGTATTCATGGACCAGGAGACAGTATTATTTTTAGATTGTTTTAAATATTAAAAATTTTTAAAGAAAGAAAGAAAGAAATTCAGAAAGACCAGTCTAGTTTAAATGTAGTATTCATGGAGCAGGAGACAGTATTATTTTTAGATTGTTTTAAATATTAAAAATTTTTAAAGAAAGAAAGAAAGAAATTCAGAAAGACCAGTGTAGTTTAAAGGCTATGTGAAAGTAGATGTGGACCCTGTCCTCTGTCCCAGAATGCGTATCTAGCCATGCACCTGGGAAGGCTGACACGCAGGAAATACTTCATGATGGTTGCTGCCCTGGGCATCTGTACGGATGAATGGACCTGACACCTGACCTGTGTCTTTGCAGAATCCTGGACATTGGCTCAGATGCCACCTTGGCTCCCTGGCAGGCACTTTGCTGCTTTCTGGCCAAATCCTTCAACTGACCAGCATTTTTGCTTGTCTGCCCAATATTCCCCACGTGGGCACCATGCTGACAGCACAGGGACTTGTTCAGGGCAGGAGCTGTGTCAGCCCAGCCGGCGCAGGCATCCCGTGTCCAGCTGCACTGGGACCCAACTCACCCATTGAGAGAGGGCCACCTGCTGCTCAATGGGACTTTTCTTTCACATCGTCCGCACAACCTCATGGAAAGAACCAAGAGGAGCAGATGACGGTGTGGGATCGGAATTCGGCCACATAACAGACATAGCAGAAAGCCTCTGTAATTTCTTTAATGATCCAAACAATAGCGCACAATGATCCAGTGTCAACTACATTTGGAAGCACATTTTTGACAGAAGCAGATATGAATTTGATCCCAAGGGGCAGGCAGCAAACTCTGCACAAACTCCAGGTTACTATAACCCCAAAGAGAGACCAGAGTCCCCATGGAGGCTGCAGGACTGCGCCTCTTTCTGGCCAGCGTGAGGCTTCTCTACATGCACAGTGGCTTCCTTTCTTCTCCTGTCTTACCGTTCCTCTGTGGAAAGCTCTTTTACTGTTTTTGTTTTTGAGGTAGGGTCTTGCTGGTTTCAGTGCAGGCTGACGTAGAACCCGAGCTGACCATCTTCCTTCAGGGTGCCAAGGGATAGGGTTACAGGTGTGTGACACCACACCTGGCTTTCTGTGGAAGGATCTTAGAAGATGAACCAAGGGGGCTCCAGGACACCAAGCACAGCCTAAGCGTGCCCTCTGCGCCTTTCCCCCTGATCACACCAACTTGAACAGCCAAACTGGCAGAAGCTACCAGCACCAGCTAAGACTGGAAATGCCAGCTGTGACACAACTCACCCCTGGAAGACCAAGAAAAGTGGAGAAATCCAGGTCTGCTTTGCCCTGGGGGCTGGCCCTGACCGAAGGGCCCAGGGCGATCCATGTGGACACAGCCCATTGAACAACAAGCCCTTGGGGACCCAGTCTCTGGCTGCAGACTTCCACAGGCCTCCCCTTGGAGCTGGACCTGCCCTGGGGTTTGAGGCCCAGCAAGTCCTCTTCCTGACATCGAGTCACCCTGCCCCACACAGGCATCCTCTGCTGGCAATCTCCTCAGGTGTCTCTGTCCAGAGCGCCAATTATGACACGAGGCATCCACGAGGCCAGAACCGGAAGTGACTAAATTCACAGCACAGACCTCCCTGGGACACAACTTCAGGCCTGGCACCCACTCCCTACTGACAATAGACATGGTCGCAGCCTCTGGCAGCAGCCCCCAGAGACCATGCAGAGGGTGCTCAGCCCAGATAGGAAGGTCAGCAGCAATCAGCACCTCTTTACCAAGGTCACAGGAAACTTCAGAAAGCAGCTGTGGCTTATAGGTCATATACTGCAAGACCATGGAAAGCCACAGGGAGTCACACTGAGAGTTTCCCCTCTGTCACCTCCTCCAGGGCTACAGCCTGGGCTCTGCTAGCTAAGAGCTGGGGTCAGGAAAGATGGACCCCCACATAGGGCACCCCAATCTCTGAGAATGCAAAGCAGCTTTACAACATAACTATCACCAGAGCTGTGGTTTCTCCAGTGACGAGGTGACAAGGACTCCTTTGGCTGTTTACGCCACATCTGCCTGCACTCACAGTTCGAGCAGCACACAGGCGGATCCTGGAGGTGCTAGGTTTCCCAACAAAGAAGCCCAAATGAACAGAACAGGGGCTGCAACAGGATTTCTGAGTTATTTCATACTAACCGATCTGTGCGTGGCACGTTTTATTTCTATAAAACTATTACAAAATATTCAAAAATACATTTTAGTAAATTTACAGCAGTTATGTTTCAATTTATTAATGCAAAAACATCCTTTTTCTCTGTACAAACTACAGGCTCCATCCTCAACGGACTCATCACTATGTGCGCTTTTAAAAAATATTATTTTCTAATAAACTCTTTGAAGTTAAAAATAACAGAGTTCTTCCAGTTTGTCCAAAAAAAAAAAAAAAAAAAAGTGTATGTGTGAGTGTGTAACAGTCTCGGCTTCCAAGAACGTGGCCCAAATTAAGATGACGAAAGCAAATGTGAAACCACGAAGACAGTACAGGAGACGGCTGTTAACATTGGAAACTAGTTAAATTAAAATAATATATTTCATATTTTACACTATTTCAAAAAATGAAATGTCATTCAGTTAAGTATTGATCTCTCAAAAAAATCTAATTTACAATTCTGTGTATAAAAATATAATTTGTGGACCCCCATGAAGCGTGATTTTAGTTTACACTGGCAGAGAAGCAGGAGCACGGCAGAGGACAGGCGAGCACAGAACCATCCCCGACTCTCGGGACCCGGGGACATGTAGAAAAATAGACTCTGAGCAGGTCGCTTGGCTGCACAAAATAATCTCTCCCCCCGTGAATACAGTTCACATGATAATAATAAATTATCCAAGACACAAACTAGTTAAGGCTCTTGAAGGTCCGGTTCATATTATTTAAAACATCTATTCATACCAAATAAATAGCCAGGAGATGAGAAAAAATAACCAAAAATTCAAAAAATATATATATAAACTAAACACAACAACGGAACTCCCCGGGGTCTTTGTTTCCTTACAGTCTATTTTGGAGTGTCCTACTTTATTATTATTATGTATTATAATGAAAGTCTCATTCCGTGCGCTTTCCTGTTGTTTTGCTCCACCTGGCTGCAGTTCCCGCGCCCACCCGCGGCCCTCCCGGCCCGGCTTCAGCTGGACGCCACCGCCATGCCCAGAGGGTGCAGGGCCTCGCTGTCCAACAGCCAGGTGCCAATCTGGTAGAGCAGCCGCGAGTACCAGTGGATGCCCTCGGCCGACGCTGGCGCGGGCTGGGGGACACTGCCACCGCCCCCGCCGTCGCCGTCGCTGCGGTCCATACGCGCCGGGCCAAGCGCGGCCAGCAGCGCGTGCGCCAGGCGGAAGGGGGCGAAGGCGCGGTGCGCCCAACTGTGCTCTTCGATGACGGCGTAGCATGAAGCGAGCACCCGGTTGATGAGGATGGTGCCCTGCGCCGTGAGCGGCGCGTACGCGCCCGCCGCCTCCTCGCGCAGCGTCACGCTGTGCACGGCAGCCGGCAGCAGCCTGCGGTCCCCGTCGCGCTCGGCCACCACGTACACGCGCTGGCCCGGGCGCACGCGGCTGGCGAAGAGCGCGCGGCGGCCCAGAGCGCCCCCCGCGGCGACCTCGCGCTCCCCGGCGGTGGAATCGTTGTGCGGCGGCGCCACGAAGAGCAGGTGTGCGGCGGTGAGCAGCAGCCGCTCGCGCGGCTCCCGGGTCTCAATCACGTAGAAGACCTTCTTGGCGCCGTCGTCGCTGTCCAGGAAGGTGAGGAAGTCGCTGTAGAGCAGCTGGCCCTGGTCGTCTGCCGCCAGCACGCGATCCCCGGGCCGCAGGTCCTTCACCAGTTTGGTGCCACCCTGCTCCAGGTGCACGGTGGCTGAACCAGGGAAGCAGCCGCCCGACTTGGCCGCCACCGAGTTCTCTGCAGGCGAGAAAGGGACGAGAGAGGAAAGACGATGAGCAAAGAGGGAGGTCAACGATGCGCGCGCGGGCCCGTCCCCATTCCACCGCTGCATGGCCAGAGTGCGGCGCAGGCACCTTCCGGAGCAGCCTAGAGGGGCGGGCAGAGGCTGGGCTGGCCGGAATCTCCGGCAGGGGGCCGTCTGTGCACTGGGCTTCCGCCTTCCTGCAGCCCATCCCCCGCTTGGCTCGGCACACACCCAGCCTCGCAGAGCCCAGGATATTTGCTCTCCTCTTGTGTCTCGGAAAGTCGGCTCTCCGGGCGCCGGTGCGCCCGCCTCCCCACCCTGTCCTGGGCTGGGCGCAGCGCCTTGGGGTGCACAGGGCAAGGAGATTGCGCGTCAACCCCCTAGCCTGGGCCCGGGGGCAGGAGTGGGGGAGCGAGGGCGCAAAATAGCTGTAGTAGTTGTAGCAACTGGACAAACATTCCAGGGAATTGCCCGAGGTGTGAAAATCCGAGGCTTGTGTGGATTTTCTAATTAAAATCCAATAAAGGGCCCAGTATTGCCATTGTGATTTCTGGAATAAATAGGAGACACTCTTGGAAGACGGGACATTTCCACGTCGCCCCTCCCATTTTTCCTCGGCCACCCCCTCCCTATTTGCTCAGGTGCAAAGCCCCCCCCCCATGTGCAATTCACACATGGTCTCTCCGGCCCGGGCCCCACAGGCACTATTTGCACAGCTAGACCTCTCCTGTGAGCACTCGAGATGTGTATTTGAATTTTAAATGGCCCGGCCTGCTCAGAGCACTGCAAGCGCCTGTTCTCAAGGCCCCTTGACTACGGCTCTCTGGGCCCTCTGTCGCTCTCTGAGGCTCACTGTCCGGGTGACAATAATTGAGGTTAGGGTGAAAGGCGGGGGGCCACGGGGGGCGGGGAGGTCCCCCGTCTTCTTTGCATTCCAATCTCCGGGATCATGCGTTTTGCAAATAGAGATTGCGAGAAAGGATCTTCCTGCTGGATTTACAGAAGGTTTTTAATCTGCTCATTGGTTTCTCCGGCATGAAGTATGGGGCCGGCAGTGGGAGGCCCTCTGGAGCCCCCCGGAATGCGACCCCGGGCGCTGGCGAGCCCCAGTCGTCGAGTCGCACGACCCCGCTTGACACGCAGCGCGCCGCACCCCCGCCTGCGTGCGCGGAATGCGAATGAGCGGCTCGGCGCGGGGTTCGCGCCGGGACCCTTGCGGCGGGATTACCGCTGCTCATTTCCGAGGAGACCTCCAGGGATCCCCGCCAGGGGGACCCCGCGGGCAGGGGCGGCGAGGAGGAGGCTCTGCGTGGAGGCAGTGGCAAGCCTGGAGGGAAGGGCGCGCCTGGAGCCACGGCGGGGCTGGTGTAGTAGGGGATCCCGCTGACCCTTTTCCCATCCTGCTGCAGCAGGTGGGGTCTCGCAGGGTGACCTCCGCGGAGCCCCGCGATCAGGACCACCCTGCTGCCCATGGTCGAGCCAAACTCCTTCCGGGCTGTAACTCCCCCCACCACCACCACCTCCCGCCGCCACTGTTGCATTTTCTTTACCTAGGAAGTGTGCCCCTACTCTGGAAATGTTATTCCACTAGAATTTGACTTTTAAGATACAGTTTAGGAATCGAGAAACAGGGCGGGGACGAGAGGGCGGCCCAGGAGGCAGAGTTCCTCGGAAATTCTCCGTGGACCGCCTTGCTAAACGCAATAGCCTGGGCTGAGACAGCGAGGTGTGCCCAGGGACCACGTGTGACAATGCCAGTTCCTGTCGCAGCTGTTCCTCCTGGCAACAGCGTGTGGCGCCGCAGGGCCAAGGAAGCGGAGCCTCCAGCTGCAGGTCAGGGAAGGGAGCCTTTGCGGCTGCCCCAGGCCCAGGGCACCCAGCGGCACCTACTAAGAACGGATCGTGCTGGGCCTTAGGGCTCCAGATGCTCAAAGTGGTAACTACCCACTTTATGACTCCCACCAGGCTGCTTCCCAAAGACAGGGAATGAGTTAAGTGAATTTAGACTCTGCCAGCGCCCAGCTGGGAGGAGCAGCATTGTGTGGATCCCAGGGAGCCTCCTGACTTGGGGGGAGTGGCAGTGGGCCTGCAGCCCTGTGTGGGGGAAGGATCTAGGTAGACCTAGGGATACCTGCAGAGTCACCAAGAAAGCCCCACTCACCCTCCCAACCTGGGAGCCCTGTCTCTCCCCAATTCTCCATCTGCAGTGGGGGCTCAGAAAGCTGCAGGCTCCCTACATCTGAGCACCGTGGAGACCTGGGGCCATCTTGGCCTCAAAGGTTGGGGTGACTCCTAGCTTGGGGACCGGGAGTTGGTCCCACAGCGGAATCCCAGGCATCACCTGGCCCCCTGTCTCCCTAGCCTTTTCCTCCTCATCTGCCTTTTCGTCCTTCCCTCAGATCAGATCCACAGGCACACAGGTGACTTTATAACCTTCCTGGGGGACAGAACTGGAGTGAGGGGTGCAGTGTGTGAAGGGTTACAGGATCCTGAGGAGGGGGAGAGGAGGTCTCACCTGCTTTCACGGAGCAGTGGATGTGTGCCTTGGATTCGTAGTAGACCCAGTCGAAGCCGGCCTCCACTGCCAAGCGGGCCAGCATGCCGTACTTGCTGCGGTCACGGTCAGAGGTGGTAATGTCCACAGCGCGGCCCTCGTAGTGCAGCGACTCCTCAGAGTGATGCCCATCTTCATCCCAGCCTTCCGTCACCCGCAGCTTCACTCCAGGCCACTGGTTCATCACTGAAATGGCCAGGGCATTTAATTTGTCCTTACATCTCTGTGGAGAGAGGGACCCACAGGCAGGCAAGTTAGTTTGGGGTCCTAGTACCATCCTAATCCCTCATCAGGCATGGCCTGGCCTTGGGTGGGGCGTGCAGAGCAGTGGGGAGACTGGAGGGCCTTGGGTGGGAACAGGAACGCTATACCCAGGAGGATTCCTCTTGTGTCCAGGGGCAAAGGCAACTCACATGGCCAAAGTTTCTCTACAGCAGGTAAACTGGGCATTTCGGGCACCAAGCCCAGCATCCTCTAGGGGCATCATCAGCCACTCTGTGCCTTTCCCCTTTTGTACCCCCTTTCTGCACGCCTGTGAGAGCCCCCACCTTGGCCCAGGTGTGGCTAAGACAGGGAATACTACCCAAGCACCTGGAGCCAGAGGCCCTGTTGTTCCTGGCCTTCCTACCTACTAACCTATCTTCGCTGAGAATGAAGCCAAAGGTGAGGGCTTGGGTGGCAGTGCCTGCTCAGGGTGGAGCCTGCCAAGTGCAAGGCCAGCAGGTGAGTGCAATGCCCTGCACAGGCAGGGTGGGAGGACAAACATTCTTGGTCTGGGCAGCCACATTCCTTCCCTGCGAACTCCTCTCTGCCAGGCTTGTCTGTGGCCTGATTGTGCGCTTGTTTTCTTTAACCTGTTCTCTTCCTCCCTCTTGTTTTCTTGGCCCGGGTGTAGAATGGTGTCCAGCAAGTTTGGAGAGCAAACTTTAAGGGAGGGGGGTGGTGAGAAGAAGGGGAAGGAAAGGTTTTCTAGGCCTGCAGCCTAGAACTCTTCAATGCTTTTGCCTCCCCACCCCCACAGGCTAGCTGGGCTTTGGGGCGATGGGGTTCTGTCATTCTTGGGTCACAGTTTATGGTGGTACTAACTTACTAGCTAAAGCTTTGTACTGCTGTGCTGGGGTTCAGAGCAAGGGAACAAAATACAAGGGCTCATGGGGAAGGGGATCTGAGAAGAGGTGCAAGAAGCAATTTCAAGTTGGTTTCTACAGAGGGTAGGGCGGGTCTCTAACCTCCTGCAGGCCCAGTGACGTGAGAGGTGGCTTGGAAGTGGGGTAGAAGGGGAAAGACCGCCTCTGTCAAGGGCCCTAATTACAGCAGGGGAAGTCTCTGGCAAAGGGCGGAGAATCTTGCAGAGATTGCTGCCTGCTCTTTTAGGGGACTGACAAATTGCGCAACAGGAAAAGTTTTGTGTATTTGGCAGCAATAAAAACCAGTAATATGGTTGTAGAGTTAAACATACAACAAATGGTGGGGGAGAGGTGGGGGGCGGCCCTGGTAACAGGTCAGCACTTGCAGGTTTGTGGGCCTGTCAGTAGTTTTAAGAAAAAGGAAGAAAAAGAAAGAAAGAATAGAGACAGAGAGATAGGAGTGAGGTCATTTCTAGGACTGAATGCATTTTACATCAAAATCAGTAAACTTGGTCTGCTTAAGAGCTGCGTTTGAAGGTGGGTGCAGTGCAGGTGCAGGAGCACACCCCCCCCCACCCCACCCCAGCTCCTCCTTCTCCTGGGAGGGGGAGAAGATAAGACTTTAACTGGGTCCACCGGACAGCTAGGAGAGGGAAGAAAGCAGAGGGGGCAGGACTCAGGATTCCTGCATCTTGAGGTAGACCAGTTGGGCAGGGATGGGCCGGGACCCCCAGGTCAGGAGCCCATTGCTGAGACAGGCCAGGCAACCTGCATAGACCGAGGTCAAGGGTCTCCAAGGTGGTACCCGAGTTCTCATGCCCTCTCCAGCTGCCCTAGGCCTGTGGCACCTGCGGGACACACCCATGGCCTGGCCAGGTGGATGGGCAGAGCCAGGAAGCCCCTCTGATTATTAATTCATTGTGTCCTGTGCCTCAAATCATGCCTAGACCCTGTGCAGTCACAGTGAAGCCCAGCAGGGCCGCTGGGCCAGGCTTTAGGTGGAGGAGGCCAAGTTGCTCTCTATGCCTGCTCATGCCCACCATCCACTTCTACACCGCACATCCTGCAGAAGGAGGCCAGGGGCTTCCTCTGGCGCCAGAGACTTTCAACAGAGACCAGTCCCTTGGCACGCCTCTCCCAACTCCCTTCCTCCAGCTTGGGGAACACCCGTGTGCTCTAGATAGAAAATCCTCCCCAGGCCCGGGGCACGCAGGAGATTTGGGCATCACAGCATCGCAGGCAGTCCCCCTCCAGGCCCGAGCCTCCAGGTCCCAGCCCTGCGGCTCCCGCCCCGCCGCCGCCTGCACCCTCTCCTGGCACCGCGGCCTGCACGCAGAGAACGAGTCTGTCTGCGCTTCCCCTCTCCGGAGTTAATATTAACCAGCAGCTCATGCGTTCCACAACTGCGCTGAAAGTTCCACTGGGGACGATCTTGCCATGGTTGAGGGAGTCGGGCGGCAGTCACTGTTAGAGAGACAGACTGGGAGGGAGGCAGACGGAGGACAGGGTGCACCTGGGCTCCAATCAGGTGGTTATTGAAAGCAAGGGGCCCTCGGGTGAGCAGGTTCCTAGCAGCAGCCTCCTTCCCAGCCTCGTACCTCCAGTCCTGCCCCTCTGCCCGCCCCTTAACCTTCGGACCGAGGTGGAGTACAGGGTGGGGGAGCCAGGGGCACCCCACACGGTGCCACCCTCCAGCTACCCACACCTTTAGGATACCCTTCAAGCGGGAACCTGCTCGAAGAGGCTCCCGGCCTGGCTTTCTCCACCCCACCCCCACCATGGCTGTCTCTTCCCCCTTCTTTTGTTTGGGGAACGGGAATGGCCACTGCCCAAGGAAAAAAAGTATTTGTTTTCGTTTCATTCGTCTGAGGGAAGTTGACAGAAGGTCAGAAGTTCAAATGCTGCCTGCGCGCGCGGCAGCGAGAGTGGCAGGGCACGGAGCGATGGGTCCCGGGCAGGGCGCACGGGCAGGGGACCCGACTGGGGTTCTGGGTGCGCACGGAGGCCGGAGGGGCCGGGAGTTGCGGCCGAAGCAGCCCGCGGGACCTGCGCTGCAGCCCCGGGCCGCTCCCTCCGAGTGGTCGCGGAAATCGAGGAGCTAGGGCGGCTCCGGCGGGGCTGTGAGCAGCGTGTGGTGGGGGGTGGCGGCGCAGCCCATCCACGAGCGCGCTGAAACCGTAGCCGCGGCATCGATCAGCCGGGAGTAAGTGGAGCTGAAATGCGTCTGCCTGGCTGCGCGGCTCGGCGCACTCGCAGATCTGCACCAGGCGGTCGGCCTAATACCCTGGAAAGGGGTGCAGCGGGAACCCCTGCTTCAGCTTCGCCTCGCGAGGAGAAGGGAATGCGCAGACGTTTTTTTTCGGCTGGGGAACCTCAGGTGTCCCCGCCCCCGCCGCTTTTCCCATCATTGCCTCTCTCCTCTCAGGTTCCAAGGGACCCCAGAAGGCTCCTCCTCCGCGGAGACCGAGGATGATAAGGGACGCGCCCCCCTCCACCCAGCTGGCCGGAGAACTCACTCCGGCCAGCTGCACGCGCCAGGCGCCCCTGGCCTGCGCAGAGTTAATTGTGGCTTGAGCTGCAGTCTGGCACAGGCGAGCGCGTCCACACTCGCGATCTAGATTTAAGGTGGTCGGGAAAGATGCGAGGAAGGACCCTCCCTGTGATTCCTAGTCCCGGTCTTCCCGCCAGCTTTGGTCGGCCACCTGGGTGCAGGTCTTCTAGGCCAGGGACCCGGGATGAGCGGAACGGCGCAGAGAGAGGCCGCCTCCCTCCCTCCCTCCGCGCGCCCTCTCCGCTCGCCCCGCCAGCGCCGCTCAGGCAGCCGCGGTGCGCACCTAGCCCTAAAGGTAGGACTTGAATATTTTAATAGGGCAATAAAAAGGATGTTGACCTATATTTGCAAGGAAACCCATTTCTAGCTTTATACGTGCATGGAGTTTCAGAAAGTCTAGAATTGGCTGGGAGATTGGCAGCCCAGAAGTCTCAAAGGAGGTGGGAAGGATGAAAAGAATTCATGTTTTGCTTTGCTTCTTCTACCGCCACTTCCTCCACTAATATTTATTTGTTCCCAATTCTTAGGCAAGCAGGTTCAAAACTAAAGCAAGGCGATGCCAACAAGTTCTAAGTCCCCCCCCCCCCCAGGTACCTCAAGGCTCCGGAGAACCCCAGAGCATCCTTAAAGAAATATCCATATATTCTCACTCTGTGGGCTCCTCTGGGGCTGAGGGAGCCCAACGCCAGCTACGTGGTACAGTGGGGGACAGGCTGGTGTCTCTGCAGCCCCTGGTTGCGGTCAAAACAGCCCCTGGCTTCTCCAGGAAGGGTCCTTGGTGGTGGTGTTGGTGGTCCGAGGATGGGGGTCATCTTGGCCAGGGAAACCACAGAGGGGAGGGGAAGCATGCAGGCTCTGCTCTCTAATGCTCAAGGCCATGTCTGCACAGTGCATTGGACGCCACTTTATGATCGTGGGGATCGTCCTACCCTCTCCCTCTATTTTCTGCTGTCTACTTTTCCAAGTGAGAGCAGACGCCCCCAAAGTGAAGGTCTCCCCAAGTTACAAGCCGGGGTGCTGCAGGAGAGGGAAGGCCATTCCTGCAAAACTGATTAAATCAGGGCCATAATGGACCACATCTCCTGCTGCTAGCACCCACCCATACCCCAAACTTCCTGGCTGGACCCTTAACCTCCATTCTCCTCCGGGAAGGGGTGAGGTGCTAGGTGGGCAGGTGGTGGTGAAGGAGAGGGAAAACCGCCTGCCTTTCTATCTGGCGGAAGAGTAAACAGAGTAAGTCTGGGTGCCTGATCTCAGCAACCCCTGGGAACGCATTCCACACCACGCGTGGGTTTCTACCTGAGTCATCAGCCGGTCTGCTCCAGTGTTTTCCTCATCCTTAAATATGATGTCGGGATTGTAATTGGGGGTGAGTTCCTTAAATCGCTCGGAGTTTCTGGAGATCTTCCCTTCGTATCTGCCGCTGGCCCCCAGGGTCTTCTCGGCCACGTTGGGGATAAACTGCTTGTAGGCTAAAGGGGTCAGCTTTTTGGGGTGCCGCCTTTTCCCGAATCCCCTACCGGGCCCGCACGCCAGCCCGGAGCACACGAGCAGCGAGGAGACGAGGACTACCAGCAGACATCTCGCCAGCAGCAGCATCTCGCCCATGGAACCCGGTGACTTCCAAGCTGTCCCCGCGGTCTGTCTGCGCGCGAGCGGGTGCGCGCGGTGTGCGTGTGCGCCCTGCCTTGCGCTCGGCTGCCTCGCTCCGGCTCGCTCGCTCCCTCGCGCGCTGCCGGGCTCTTTCTCTTCCTATATAACCTTGCCCGCTGCCGCTGCGGTGGACTCTCCGCAAATTTCAGCCCAGACAGGGGCTGCGATGGCAGACTGCCGGTCGCTGATAGCGGAACACATCGGAGTTGGGTCGGGAGGCAGCAATCAAGAGACAAAAAGAGTCTGATTTTAAATGGTAGCCAGCCTGGAGAGCTTGTGAGACAGGCCGCCTCTCGCACTATATTATAGCTGGCAGGGGCGCATCTGATTGGCCACAGCCGCACAAGCTTGTCTTCTGATGTTAACCCTGAAGAAGGCTACATTTCCCCCCCGCCCCCCCCGTTACTGCTGTTGCTTTATTTTCACCTGAAGGCTTCGAGTTAAAAAGAAGAAAAAAAAAGATCTTTCCGAAGATGAAGGTGAGTGGGAGGAGGCCCGTTTCCTAGGATAACATCAGTTACTGCTGGCTTTGTATACATCTTCTGTTTCCCCCTTTACTTCTTCTGGAATGGTAGGTGCTTCAGTTAAAACCAACATAAGTTTTTAAAGGACAGTCTAGACACCCCCTGCATCAAACGAATAGTCTCTCACGTGTCGTGTCGAGGGGCAACACTGCCCTGCTCTGATTAATCCCCACCCACTCCCAGACTGCATGCTGCAGGTTATTATTCCTGAGTTGGAAGAAAGAGAGTCCAGGCTTCTTCTGAGTATTTCTGAGTCCCTGGACAGAGGGTCGTTAGGAGCAGCCACAGTTTAAAGCATTGCTGTTTGAACTGCCTTAAGCACCTTAGAAAAACTTGAAAATATTGATCCTTCCTTGGGTCGCAATGAACACATCATGTTAGAACCTCAGCAGAGAGGGCAGAGGGGTGCATTAGGAGGACCCTAGGATGGGCACAGGCCAAATGGGTCTAAGTGCTGCACCCCAGCTCAGGCAAGGGGGCTATCGAAGTGGTTGGAAGCTACTGTGCCTGGGCTGCAAACATTCTTTCTCTTCTCTCTCTCTCTCTCTCTCTCTCTCTCTCTCTCTCTCTGTCTGTCTCTCTCTCAACACACCACCCCCACAATCGATTGATCAGAGCAAAGTGCAGGGCCGGGATGAGTTGACTCCGAGATTCAGGCTCCTTGTCTGGAAGTGGGTGGGAAGGTTGAGAGCTGGCATACACGGAGCCCCCAAAAGCTAGGTGTTGGGGTCAAAGTCTGAGCTGGCCAGGAGTCCTGAAGCTCAGAGAGCAGCATCCTAGGAATGGGCAATGTCCCTAGAGGTTAGCAATATGTTAACCTCTAATCTGGAAAAAAGAAATATCAAAAAAGTCCTAAGTATGTCAGAAAAATTAGACCTGAAACTGTTTTTATGGAACGCACCCTCACCATTCCCAGCAGTTCTGGAATGGGACCAGGATGAATGTATCTATGTGGATTGGAGATCTGGCCCTGAGGACAGGCTGAGTCCTCAGAGCTCCCTTGGGGCCCCGATGTTCTCCCTAGAGCTCAGGGAACAGGCCCAGCTGGAAGCCCAGCCTCAGACAATGGGACCTTCCCAGAGCAGAGCACCTGCTTTACAGGCAAATTTTGTTTTGGTGGGGAGGAGAGGTGTGCCCAGGGCAGACCTCTGCCCTGTCATCTATCCCTTCCTCCTCACCAGACTGCAGACTGCATCCCTCAGTGCCTTCCAGGCCAGTGGCTGAGCAGAGAACTAGCGTCCACCAAGCCAGGATAGCAGACTCCCGATTGGCTGGCTTGGGTGGCTTGTGTGCCCTGAGCTCTGGGAACAACAGACCAACAGGAGGTGAGCCTGTTTGTCGTGGTCACTTGCAAAGCTTGCAAATGTCCCATCACAGGGTGTTTTGGGGCCAGAGGGCTGCCCTGGCCTCTAGGCATTCCTCCCTCTGCTTGCTCCCCCTGGCCTTGCACCTGGTTATTGAGGACAGATCAGTGGGAGGTCATTCCATGAAAAGGGAGGTGTTGGGGCAGGCGGGAGGTGTTTCAGGAGCAAAGGCTGGAGTGGCATAGAGCACTGAGTGGGCACAGCTGGACTCCCCTCCCCCCAGGATTAACTCCCTTCTAATCTGTACCACCCTGAGCCACCAGGAAGGGTTATTCAGGCTTCTCTACTGAGGGACAAAGCACGATGTGCCCTGGCTCCATCTCGTCAGCTCTGGTGCCCAGGGAGCCTGTCAAGGCCAGGCACCCAGGGCCAGGGACTGGCTAGATTCTCAGCACAGGAGAGCTGTCACCCAGCCTCATTTAGCAGGCTCTCTCCTGTCAAGAGGACCTTGGGTTCATTGTCTTGGAAGCAGGGCCCTGGGCTGAGCCCTTGGGAGAAGCTGCAGCCTCTGCCCTCTGCCTCTGTCCCAGGCAGCAGACACCCACTGCCTTCCACCTGCAGACGCCAGATGGCTCCCTCTCTTTGCCTTTCCCCTCAGACCTGGGTGGGGGGCAGCTCTCCCCAGGCCAGGGAGAGGCTCCAAGCCCCAGGCACCCTCAGAACCCACTGCTGGTTTTGCTAGGCTTTGCCCTTCTTCCTGGCGGAGAGTCACCTCCTTCCCTCCCATCAGCCTTTCCTCCTCCACCTTCCCCTCCACCTCCCATCTTCCATTCCTCCCCCATCCCTGCTGAGCACAGGTAGGGGCCTGGCTCCTGACCCCAGCCCCCCAGGAGGCATCTCCCTGGGCCCTGCTTTGTCCCCTCCTTCCAGCCCCCACCGCTAGATGGCCTTCTCACTCTGCCTTGGGCTCTGGCTAGGCCATTTTGGGGAATTCCCACAGCCCCAGGTTGGAAGGACCCGGAAGCAGGGCTGGCTGTCCATCCTCCACTCCTGCAAGTCCAGCCCTCTGTTCCGCCTCCTGGTGTCCCTCCCCTCCATACCGTTTCCTTCTAAAAGCTCTGCACAGTCTCTTCAGCCAGGCATACAGTCTCTTTTTCCTTTTGAAAACTTAAAGTTCTGGCAAGTGGAGTTTCCACCATTGCGTTTCTCCCTGTGATTGCCAGCCAGGATCCCCTTGACCTCTGGAGGGAGTCTGGCCTGGCGCTGTTGTCCTAAGCAGTGGCTCTTGCCCAACCCTGAGAATGGTGCCTGCAGCTCCCAGGAGAGCCCTAGGCACTGGATGCTGATAGCCAGGTTCCTGGTGGCCATGGCCCAGCCTGGGTGCAGGTAGGTGAGCCCAGACCAGAGTGCTTCCTGGTGCAGACATCGGTGGGGCCCGGAGGGACTGAGGCCTGAGGGACTGTGTGCTGGTGGTTCCTGGGGTGGTATCTGTCAGCAGCTGTGCCAAGCCACTGTTGTCCCTCCCTGGTCTTCTTAATTCCCGGAGTTAGAGAGCTGGGGAAGAGGGAATCATGCTCCGTGAAGCCAGCACTAGGCAGGAACGAATCCCTCTGAGGTTCCTGCTTCTCTGCTCTGTGCCTCTGCCCTGGGGCCCTGCTGGTTGTTATCAATCCTGCGGGGTCTCAGCAAGCACTGGAGGTTTCTGTCCAGATCCAGTGACCAGGTGCCATGTGGGTCCTTGGTCTCACCTCTATTTGCCTGTGTATATAGGGTGTGCAGATGACCTCATGCCAGGGTAAGGACAGAGCTACACCCCAGCACTATCCTTCTGATCCTGCTCAGTTGCTGTATCACAGCTGCCCCTCCTGTCTGCTGGCCACTTGGTGTCCAGTGTGGACACCAGTCTCTGGTATAGTCCCTGCTCTGGTTACTTCCAGTTGGGACCCCCCAGATCTGAGAATGGGGGAGCAGAACTTTTTGGTTTTGGATCTGAAGCTAGGCTCCCACTTTAGAGTGCTGTCCTATCCTGCAGGAGGTGATGTAGCCTGCAATCTCTTCCACCTGGCCACCCTGGTGTGGAGTCTGGTGGCACGGGGCAGCAGAGGTGGACAGGTGAAGGTCCTACATGTGTGCATGTAAGTGCAAAAGTGTCATGGCCCCTGGGGAAGGCATAGGAGAGCCCAGGAAGCAGCAGGAGCTTCTGCAGTGCGTCTCTGGTTGTGTGGGTGGTCACCACAGCAGGAGTGGCCTGGCTCTGACCCACCCTTGCCTGGGAAGAGATGCTTTTACTTGCTGCCATTTTTGCCCGTGCTGGGAAGCTCCTTACTGGCCAAAGGGTAGCTGTGACCTTGCAACCTTGGGCAGGCGGAGAGTACTACATCATCTGGGAAGCCTTGGCCCACACATAGAGGGGTGGGGGGACCGGCCAGTTCTTTCCAGGAGCAGAATTAATGTGGAAGCTTGTGGCCCAGCCATCCCTGCACTCTGCTCAACCTTAGACCCCAGTCTGATGCCTCCCCGCAGCAGCTCCCAGGCCTCCTGAGGTCTCCAGTGAGGCATTGTGGAAGGCTGTGATAACTCCCAGGAAGTCACTGACCCCTGTGCCATGGTCTTCTTGCTGTCCAAAGCCAGAAGTCCCTGGCCCTCAGTTCTGGGAGTGTGGAGTCTGTGAAGCCCAGGGTACCAGGCAATGGTCCCTCCTTAGGGGGAAACTGAACCTCAGGCCTCTGCCTGGCTGCCACAGACACCAAAAAGCCACAAAGGGGGCCTCTGCCCCTTGCCGCTGCTGTGTCCATTCAGCACCATCCATGCTGTTCAGGAGACCAGTCAAGAGCTGGCCCTGCCCCTAGCCAGCCAGCCAGCCAGAAGCCTGGTCAGAAGCCTGGAGGCCACAAGGCCTGCCTGGCCCTGAGGGCAGGAGTGGCTGCTCAGAAGTCTGAGGGACAGCAGATCCCTCTCCATTATCAAAGGAGCACTGCCCTTTTTGCTTTTGCACCTGCTACTTCAGGTCTATTTTGGCCTGAGGCCTTATCAGTGTGCAGTGAGACCTCTACATGGAGCTTCAACTTCCTGTCTGTGAAAGAGGAAAGAGCCACACTGGGTCCCCTCTATAGCAGGCGAAGGATGAGATACACACACTCCTGTAATGTGAACAGTCAGGAGCTAGAAATGACAGAGGCATGGGTGGCCGAGACCTGCTGTAGTGGGGAGTCAGGCAGAGTAGGACTGGGAATTGTTTTTGGTACTGGAGATTGCATGCAGTGCCTTTCCACTGAGATACATCCCCAGCCTTTTTATGTTGTCTCAGTAAATTTTCTCTCATTGCTGGGACAAAACATCCAACACCAAAAATGAAGGAAGAAAAGGTTTATTTAGCTTATAGTTTCTGGAGGTTTCAATCCATAATCAGCTGGCTCCAAGGCAGGGAGGCTTGACTGGGGGCAACACTTCAAAGC